TTGCTTATTCTTTCGCCCATCGGAAGGCAAAGAATTGTACTTTGAGATAAAAGTAACTCAATGTAGCAAAAAATAGGGTTGTTGTCCGGGTTGTGAAGACGATAACAAATTCTATTTCAACAATTCAAATTATGCAGCTTCTGTCCTGTCCCGTCAGGACTAGAAGGTTTAGTTTGTGCGTATGTGTAGTTACACCACCAGCTCTATTTTAATAAATTGATTCCTTACTTTTAAATTTTTATGTGGAGATCATTCTCCTGTTAGATTGATTCAATAATTGTAACCACTTAATTGAATCATATTTGGCTTAACAAAAAAGAAACATTTTGTTTATAGAAGGTTTATAAATTGCACTTTTCACCGTTAAGTTTTTATGTGAATATCACTTTGATTCTAATTTTTTAATTGCAATAATTAAGTACTTGACATTAACTGATGTCTGAATTTTTTATTTTTTATTTTATTTTTTTTGGGGGGTGGGGGGCTTTAGATGTGGGATTTGTATGAAAATTCTCTCTACATTTTCAGAGAGATACTTTGAAATGTTTCAGGTGCATACATCATTAGATTAACGAATATACCCAAGTTAATTTTGAATAGCCTAAATGCTGTTATTTCTGCAATTACTGTGCACAAATCATATGGAGTGACAGAATTACATTTATTATTAAAAAATATTTATATAAATTAATAAATTTTAAAAAAATTATTTATTACATAAATTGTAGATGATATTGATTGAATGTGTCACCAGTCTTTAATTACGAAGCTGCTATTGGAGGATTATTTCACTTTTTTCTTTTTTCTAAAGTAGATTGGCATGACATTCTTAAGTAGCAAATAAATGAGGCGCGTTTGATAACTTGATTCAGCATTTAAAATTGAATGTATTAAGTGACAATTAATTAAATTTATTTGATAATTGTAATTGATATTACTTAAAAATTTAGTGTCTCTTAAAATATAGACTAAAATTTTAAGTCATATAAAATTTATTTAATTCTAACTGAATTTATAATACTAAACATAAGTCTTGATATATACTATTATAAGCTTACCACCACTACCATAACCACTGCCACCACTACCACAATTGCTACTGCTACCATTGTCGCCACCACCATCGCTACTACTACCACCACCATCATGTCACTACCACTACTACCACCACCATCGCTACTGCTACAACCATCACCACCAACATGCTACCACCACCGCTGCCATCACCACCACTACCACTACCACTACCACTACCACCATCATGCCATCACTATTGATACCACCACCTTCATTGCCATTGTCATTATTGTCATAAGCACCACTATCATTTTACTGCCACCATTACTACCACCATTACTATCACCACTACCACCATATCACTGCCACCACCATCATTACCATCACCACCATGACCATCACAATATAAAATTAAAATTAAAATATACAATTTGAAAATAATAAATTTCAAATTTCATATTATATATATTAAACAATTTATTTTTAATTCAACACTTAAACTTTTATCAAATACTTTAAACATGACATTGAAAAGATCAAAGTTTTAAGCGATACACTTTTAAGGTAGAGTTAGGATTCTATCACTATAAATATTGAATTTGAGAAATTTTGCTTTGCACCACAACGGAGTTAGATTAGTGATCGACAAAATTGTCTATCTAACCTCACTTATGGTTTTTTTAATTTTTGATGACATCATATAGGATGATATGGCTGTTATACTTTTTTTTTTTTTCTTTTTTGTTTTGGAACGATAGGTATCAAAAGAAAGATATGGAGCATGTCAAACAAATTACTTGGAGAGTAACACCACCATCGCTACTACTACCACTATTGCTACCACCATCATCATGCCACCACCACTGCTATCACCACCATCACTACCGCTATTACCATCACCACCAACATACTACCACCACCACCACCACCACCACCATCATCATGCCATCGCTATTGATATCACCACCTTCATTACCATTGTCATTATTGCCATAAGCATCACTATCATTTTACTACCACCATTGAAACTACCACCACCATGTCACGACCCAAACCCGCCCCTATGGGTTTAGCACCGTAATCAGCCAGTAATCCGAGATTACCGAAGGCCTGCTTAATAGTCAAACAGAATTACAGAGTACAGGGACTGGCGGAAGCCAATACAGTAATTAAAATATGTCCAATGAGTTGTGACAGTCTGTATGCAAAAAGACTTTTCATATATATACACATTAATAACAGAACAGTCTATACATGCATGTACAATATATACAATCATTCAGGATAGAGACTTAATCCCTATCTAAAACAGTACAGTACAAAAACATTCAGTCTATACAGAACATAACCAAGAAGGGGGAAAACTAAAACACCCCAAAAGCCCTAGCTTGACAGGCTTGGAACCTTGCAGTGAGGCACAGTGGTTGGCTTTGACAAAAGGGAGCCTAATCCACGCTCCTAGCTCCGGTCTGGTGCCTGAACATCTACATATATATATATATATGAGCAGTGAGCTAAAGCCCAGTGAATAACATAATGCGTAAAGAGGTTAAGAATGAATGTCCTTTCAGTATTGGAAATAATCAATTAATTTAGTGTATCAGTCGTTCAGTCATAACAGTCATATGTGGTACATCCATTAGCAAAACAGTACACTAAACAATAGGTCTTGAAAGACCAAACAGTCAATGATGGCCATCATAACAGTAAGCAGAAGTTCCAAAATAGGAACTGACAGAGATCTCTGTAACAGTAGCAGTAATAGTAACAGTAGTTGCTAAGGATGCAACAATACAGTTCAGAATAGAGAACAAACATTCATTCAGTTAACAGTAAATAGTTCAGAAAATAGTTCAGTTGATCATTCAGAAAATATTCATTTTCGAACATATCTTTACAACATTGTTACTCACAGAGTTCTGGGCTACAGATACGCTAGAGCGCGTCTCTGGATGCCAACCCTACACAGTTCCAGAGTGAACACACACTAAGCTACACAGTTGGGAAAATAATAACTTAATCCCTCTCTTGACTCTGTGTGGTTCTACATCAATATCCTCATTAAGATGTCTGAAACTAGGCCTAAGAATGCCTAGGATGGAATGAGGATGCAAAGATGCACTTTAAAAACATTTTCAGAAAACAGAGGTCCCGCTCGAGCGTGTCCATATCCGCTCGAGTGGACATGCAGACAAAGGTCTCCGCTCGAGCGTGAATCAATCCGCTCGAGCGGACTGCAAGCTACAGTAAAAGTACTGGATGTGTGAAAATCGCTCGATTGGGCGCTCGATACCCGCTTGAGCGTGTGACACAACTCCCCGCTCGAGCGGACTGTAAAACAGTGTAAAGTGCTGGACACACGAATTTCACGCTCGAGCGCCAGTCACTCCACTCGAGCGTGAGTCCAAAATCTGGAATTTTCAGATTTGAACCTCAAGCTCAAAAACAAGTTTCAATGTACCAAATTCGATCCTTTTGGGTTAATTTTCTGGAAAACACTTCAAAACTCATAATATAACATGTTTCAAAGATCAATTTGAGAAATCAAAGCCCAAAGGTAGTTCAATTAAATCCAATTTCAAACCAATTTTCATGAACAAAGCAAGAACTTTACATGCATGAATTTAAACCTATTCAAAGCTTCAATTACATGCTCTAATGAGCTAATTCTTCCAAAAACATGATAAAACCATGAACTATACTCAAAATATGAACATGCATGTGGCAAATTTGTGAAGAACAACTTCAAAGTGCAAGAATATGCCCATGCATGCAAAGATTAAGCTTTGATTCAACAAATTAAGCTACTTCATGACCTTAATCACTAGACTTCCATAAACCATGCAACATATAACTTGAATACATGAACAAGAAGGTATAATCTCTACCTTAAGTCTCCAATTCTAGGTGTAGGAGTCCAATTTGCAAATCTTCTACCAATTCTCCAAGTCTCTAAGCCAATTTGAGATGGAAACAAGCTCTCTCCTATCTCTCTCTCTCTAGTTAGCTAAGAACACAAGAATGGGCTGGAGAAATGTTTTGTTTGAATGTAGTAAGGCTCAAATGTGTTTGGTATAAAGTGGCCACCAAGTGGTAGTTTGGTAAATAAATCCAATTATTGCAATTTAGCATTATTTAATCTAATTTAATCATACAAATTCAAATTTCAAATAAATATGCCATAAAGTCACATAAATTATGATTAACACATATCACTAATCAATTTCAGATTCGGCCGCCGATAAGGCCTTCAATTTGCAGTTTAAAACATAAAACATGAACAGATAATTTAACAGTCAACAGATAGATATGCATTTAGACTAGCACACTCAATCGATCAGTTCAGTATTTGAATCAGTCAGTCAATTAACATGTTTAGTCTCAGTTTAGCAGTAATCAGTGGTTAATCAGTAAACAGTGGTGAGGGTTGTCACATACCACCATACCATCACTACAAGAATAACAGTTTTGCCGACCAAAATATTAGTCGCCAAAGGTTGCATTTTTGGTCGCTGATATACCATTTAGCAACTAAATTTTTTTGTCGCCAAGTTAGTCGCCTAAACCCTGTCGATGATTGTTTTAGCGACTAAACGTGTGTTTGGTCGCTGAAAGTGAAACATTTGGCTACTATTTTTAGTCGACAATGTTACCTTTTGGCGACTAAGAAAGTAGTCGCCGAAAAGGTAATTTTTAGCTACTAAATTTTAGTTGGTCGGCAAAATTAAATGTTTGGCTACTAAATTATTGGTCGCCAAACGTCAACGTTTGGCTACTAAAGTTGGGTTAGCCGGAAAAAGTGATATTTTGGCAACCAAAATATGAGTTGCCAAAAGTTATAACAAAACTAATTTGAACTATTTAGAGACTAAAGTTTTAGCTGCCAATTGAATATATACCAACCGTATTTAGTCGCTAAAGGATGCTAACTTTTATTCATTTTGCTACTACATTATTAGTGGCCAAAACATTTGAAAATAGTTTTTGGCTACCAAAATAGTTAGTAGCCAAATACTATATTACAAATAATTTTTTTTTTTTTTTAAATTTCTGAACCACATGTATCCATTATTAGTACAACCTATACAATGTATAAACAATAAAATCCATCAATACTAAATATATATTATCAACCATTCGACAACGTGAACGCAAAAAATTCCATTCGACATCCAATTCCATTCCATTCCATTCGACATATGTAATACAAATTCCATACGACCCAAGTATATTCCAACCTCAATAATTTAAAAATATACATAATAGAGAAAAACTGTACCACACCAAAAAACTAATATGTACTGCCCCAAAAACTAATTTATACCACATCAAATGCTAATTTCTACCATGCCATATTTGAGATATTTACCACGCAAATCAATTATTACTGAACGAACCACGATATATACGGACAGAGGTATAAAAACAATGCCCTTCCGTACGTGTCAGAAAAAGTCATATCCACATTTGTACGTCCAAAACCATCTACAAACAAAAAAAGATTAATCATTAGTATTGACTACATATTGGGTTGGTAAAAAAAAAAATCATCATTACTATTGTACATGCATGTAGGGCTGCAACACTAGACAATCTAGTAAGGTTAACAATATTATTGTCAAAGAATAATATTATAACAGCATAGGAATGTTAATTTTAAAAAAAATGACCCTATTGATTAAATAAAGAATTATCAGGACAAATGTTAATTTTATGAAGGAACTAAGAAAGTGTATAGTATATTGATTAAGATATTTCCTTGATTTTTTTTTTCTTCAAAGGGATTAACCACACTGCTAAAATATTATGAATCGAGAATATCGGCACCCATTGTCCCATTCTCCAAATCAGGTGGACTTTGTAATCTAAGACAGTGCACACTCTACGATAAAACTAAAATAAACTCTATTATAAAACTAATAAGCAATTCATCATCTCTTTTTCCTCCATTGTACAGTCTTGTTTAGATGGGGTTATTTAGTGAGAAATACTAAGAAATGAAGAGAAACAAAACTTGTTCTCATGTTTGATTTGAAGAATAGGTGAGATATTTCATTTATCAAAAAAAAAAAATGATGAAATTTGATGACAAATAAACTACTTGACGTATTCGTATATATACATCCACATAGCATAAAAAAATAGATTGAATAACAGTGTTAAGTAAGACAACCCCAATTTTTTTGATCATCAAGACAGCCTAAATTGATTCAAGCCACGGTGAAACTTGGCATGTTAGATCTCCTACAAATGACCCGCATAATGCAGAGTCCTAGTCCTCCATTTGTCTTCCACACATACATAGAAATAGACCTACGAAAGATCCTGACAATACTAAATAGGAGAGGTTATATTCTGAATGATCATAATCAGACAGTTATTAAGTAAATGTGTAAGCAAAAAATGTTAGTTACCCCTTAGTCACTTTTGTGTTGGCAATTTCACTCTAAGATTGAGTATGTTATAATTGTTTTTTAGGCTTGTTTGAGCCTTGAGCATGCTTTGTAGTGAAGCATTATCAAAACAACTTCACATGAAAGCCTTGATCATACAAACATACTCATCTTCTATGAAAAGGCAAAACAAATGCATTGCAGTATCATCGTTTACAGAGTTCTTATCTTTATTATTCAGAAGGGTTTGGTTTATTTTATTTTCTTGAACATAGTTAGCTCAAGTTTTCTCTTTCAATCAATCAGCCCTAAAATGAAAAAGGATTTATGGTTAAGAAGCTTAAATTAAACCCTAGGTCTTTTAAGTGTGTACTCTTGAAGAAATGAAGACCATTTACCATGCCTTTTATTCAAGTTACGCTGTGAATGTAAATATTTGTAAGGCCCCCATAGACCCCCAAGAGTTGTTACCGTCTATCCCTACATGTCACATTTGGCATCGGGAAGCTTCCCGTAACGTAAAAACAGTGGTTCAGGGGTTGGTTTGCTTTTTTGCCCCGTGAACGCCTTTTTTCAACTACTTTTATGGCATTATCAACTCTAACTCCCAACGTAGGTGTCCTATTTATGTATCGTCTGTCCCTACATGTCACATTTGGCACCGGGAAGCTTCTCGTTACGTAAAAACAGTGGTTGGGAGGTTGTTTCACATTTTCACCCCCCAAACGCCTTTTTTCGACTGCATTTATGACATTATCAACTCCATCTCCCAACCTAGGTGTCCTATTTACGTACCGTCTATCCCTACATGTCACATTTGGCATCAGGAAGTTTCCTGTTACGTAAAAATAGTGGTTCGGGGGCTGTTTGACATTTTCGGCCCCCAAATCCCTTTTTTTGACTACATTTATGATATTATCAACTCCATCTCCCAACCTACGTGTCCTATTTACGTACCATCTGTCCCTACATGTCACATTTGGCATCGGGAAGCTTCCCGTTACGTAAAAACAGCTTATCCCCTACATGTCACATTTGGTACTCATGCCTCCTGAAATTTTTCACCTTAAGACTGGTATAGGGAGAAGATATTGAAAGGGTTGTTTCTTCAAGTAAGGTTGCAAGGCATGAATCACTAACAAGCGAGGCATAGAATAGTGAAGTAATAGAGAACACTTGCAAATTCAGTCTCAATGAATTTTATTACGTTAACTTATCAAAGTCAATGAAGTATGTACTACTTACAGTGGTGACTGCAAACAGGTGGGACTGTTAACATAAAATTAAAAGCTCGGCTCAAGTTTATTTTTATTATGGAGTACCTAAACACATGGATAAATGCCTTTAACATGTGTTAAAGGCTCTATCGTTGGAATCATTTATAGAAATTTCAGCCACTTGGCTAAAGAAATATACCAGCCATGGCTAGAATTTTTAGAATCCCATCTAATTTCAACCTTCAATGTTAGTGAAACTGGTTAGTAAATTGTGTGTGGCTCCAACTATACACACACACCCAAAAACAAATAAAAGTAAAACCTGAAAGATTGCAGCAACTCCTTTTAGAATTCCATCCCCTCCGATTATATAAACCTGAACCATTAAAAGGCATTTACCATTTTCAGTATGAAAGATGTTGCATGCTGAAAATGATTCTTAAAACAGTACTATTTTACATCAAAACTTCTCATACCTGGTTAATCCCACGGTCTTGAATGCTATCAACATCTTTGAGGTATCATGCCCTTCTCGTGACGTTCCAATAATTGTACCACCACGTTTATGAATGTCATTTACAACCTTTGGGGTTAAAGTAATATTGTTTTGTGAATAGAAACCCCTATATCCTCCCTACAAGTGACCCAAAAAAAAAAAGCATTAGCTGGCAAGATCACGATATCATGAAATACAAAACCTCAACTCATGGTAACCAAATCAGAACCCATGAAAATACCCACAAGCTGTAAAGCCATGTTTCGGTATGTAGTGTAGTGTTGTATAGATTAAGATATTATTTTAAATTATCACATATAAAAACTATTAAAGATGGATCATGTTTGGCAACGCAAAGCAAAGGAATTGAGTGTACATCTCTCACTAAAGCAATTATATGAAATGCTTACTAACTTTGCATTATACATATTACAGATTACAGACCAATCAAAGCTATCTACAGATTCACATGCAAAATTTCATCAGGGAAGCCATTGGACAAGGAAACATAAAATTAAAAAACATTCAAAATGCAAGTTGAGATTTAAAAAAACAAATTTAACTGAACACATAGGTTATACACTATCCACTCATTCACATCTATCCCAAGGACTTTGATGGCGCAATACATATGATAGAGGCTACATACAAGTTCAATGATCAGAGTGTTCAGCCTAGGGCATAAACCACCAAATGTGACAATACAAGCATGCACCTCATCTGCATCAAAATACACCTGTGAAGCATTGAATAGTTAGTCTAAGAAAAGACATATATGGTGGGTGTGTCATTGTGCAACAATCACGTGAAACAACAGAACATACCTTTTGCCGAGGTCCAGTACGCCGAAAATGTATTCCTCTTGGACTCTCCTTGTGAACAACAATCTGTTGAGAAGTAAAGAAAAACAAAGTTTTAGGCTTGTATCCATTTATTTAATTACATCCAAACTGGACATATAAAACAACCTTTTGGCTTGGTGTAATAATTTCCAAGCTTCTGAGCCAAAAAGAAACAACCAAGCCTGGCCTGGAAAATGGTAGCACCAACTTATTCTCTCCAAACTTATTCCGTTACTTATTCTGTTATGTACCGTCTGTCCCTACATGTCACAAGAAGAGAAAGCTAGTTTCTGGGTACTTGATCCCCTAGGTATCAGCCTTGATTTGATCTAGAACGAATAGATAAGCAGTAGTAAAGGAACTAAAGTCTACAATGGAGTTATGCCTGTGCATATTTTGATGAGTACAAAACATAACATTAAGATCAGGAATATACATACATACATACATACATAAAAATTAATGTTTATAACTTTACGCAAATCATAAAGACCAAGTTTCCTAAAACATATATCAAAGAGTATGGATTACTGCAGTAGAATATAAAGATAGATACCAGGCAAGTAAGTAAGGGAAAATTATCAATAAAATGCAAACTCTACAAACTAATTTCAACTTGATGGAAACAAAATTATAACATCAATAGAGATGGATTTGGCAAAATAATATAAAAAAACATTGTGCCTTAATGGCAACACTAAGCCTAGCAACACATGAATCAGTCACATACACAGCTACAAAATGAGTGAAATTAATTGAGTTTGACGAGTGTTTTACTCCTCAAAAACATGTGTAAAATCAACTCATTATCATGATTTAAAAAAAAATGTATTAGATATTGATATTATAACACATACTTTCAAACACTTATAATTTCAAACACATACTTTCAAACACATATTAATTAACACATACTTTTTTTTGTGTTTTTCGTGACAAAGATCTCAATCTCAGAATATATAGACAGATAATCTCAATCTCAATCTCAATCTCAGAATACATACACAGATAATCTGTGTATGTAAATTTCATACATAGATTTACACAAACAGATTTAGAAAATAATGACGAGTAGAATACAAGACAGAAAATTTCAATGAAAATAATCAGAATACATGAGATTAGATAGACAATCAATGAGTGCCCATATATGCCAAATACAAAGACAATCAATGGATTAGGGCTTTGAAAATAATGAGAGAGAAAGGAAAAAGAGGGGGAAAGGCATCAAACCCTAAAATCAAACCTATTTACAACATGAAACCCATAAAACTCTAGTAATGAAACCACTTCAAACAAACCCATTGCAGATATGAACAAAAAATTAATCTAAATGGGTAGAATAAACAACCCTAGAGCAAAACCAGATGGGGAAATAGAGAGAGAGAAAGAGAGAGAGAGAGTGCGACCGAGACAGAGACCGACAGAGTAAAAGATCGAAAGGGAGTGAGAAAGAGACCGAACCTGTTAGCTGCAGTGGCAGTACTGATTTGAGGCGTACGGGAAAGACGGTGCTGAGGATACGCGGTGGTGAGGTTTGCTGGTTATTGATCTGTGTGAGAGAGAGGATTTGTGTGAGAGAGCAGCGATGGCGGTACAGAGAGCAAAATGTGTGAGTCAAAATGAGTGAGGCGCGAATATAAAATAATTCCCTCTAAAAAATTTTGATCTTTAGCGACTAAATGTTGTATTTGTCAGGAAATATTAATATATAATAATATAAGGAGTTAAAAAACATATACAGCGGCTGAATTTTTGCTGGTCGCTAAAAAGTTTTCAATATTATATTCTGACATTTGGCGACTAAATATTTTGTTGTCGGCAAAAGGTATATACGCCGACCAAAAATAATTTGGTAGCCTAAAAAATATACTATCGCCGACTAAAATTTCTTTTAGTAGCCAATGATGGAATATTTAGTGACAAAAATATTTTTTTGTTGCCAATAAACTATATTTCTCGATTAAAAAAATTTAGCAGCTACATCATTTGGCGACTAAATAATTTTAGTAGCCAAAAGTCACTGTACTACGACTAAAATTTAATTTTGTCGCCAATTATTCAATTTTTAGCGACTAAATAATATTGTAGTCGCCAATTGTTTGATAATTAGCGACTAAATTTTTTTTAGTTGCTGATAAGCAACTTACATCGACTAAAAAGCTTTAGTAGCTAAATCTTTTACTTTTGCCAACTAATAAAATATTTGGTCGCTAATTCAATAGCTTTTGGCGACCAAATTTTTTTTAGTCACTAAATTTGGTCGCCAAAAGTGTTATTTCTTGTAGTGCATTGCCACCGCCACCATTACCATCACCACTACGACCATCACAATATAAAATAAAAACTGAAATATTTAATTTGAAAATAATAAATTTCAAATTTTATCTTATACATATCAAACAAAATATTTTTAATTCAAAACTTAAATTTTTATCAAATACTTTAAACATGACATTAAAAATATCAAAGTTTTAAGCAATACACTTTCAGGGTAGAGTTAGGATTCGATCACTATAATAAATATTGAATTTGAGAAATTTTTCTTTGCACCACAAGAAGGTTAGATTAGTGATTGACAAAATTGTCCATCTAACCTCATTTATGATTTTTTTTAATTTTTGATGACATCATATAGGATGATATGATCGTTAAACTTTATTTATTTATTTATTTTTCCCGAAATGATAGGTATCAAAAGAAAAGTATGGAACATGTCAAACAAATTACTTGGAAAGTAATATTACAGCCACATACTTTTTTACAATAATTTTTGTCACCTACTCATAACAAAAATAGGTTTCATATCATGTGATGATGTGAAGTCTAGTATCATTGTATGTAAGCTGTAAAAAAATGCTATAAAAAAGGGATTTTTACCGGTCGGTCTTAATAATTGAATCTATTATTCCTTAAATCCTAAGTTTCTATCTCATACACCAAGAAGTCCTGTTATATTTTTTTTATCCCGATTTTGCCCCTGTTAGTAGCTAGTAAAAATCCCTATTTAAATCATCCCAAACACTTTCTAAATCTTTAATTGTTTATAATATTTATTACTCATTAATTTTTTCAACTTGTAATAACTTCTCTCTTGATTATTTTTCCAAAACTCTTCTTCTTTCTCATCTCTCTCTCTCTCTCCCCCCTTCTCTCTCTCTAGAAAATGCCATCATTATAGCTATGGCCATGGCCATGGCCATGGCTATCCACCCACAACCACCATCGTCGTCCGTCACTAACCACTGCCACCTTCGTCGACCATTACCACCACCTTCGCCGGCTACTACCACCACCATTGTTCATCAACCATTTCCACTGTCGCCGATCTATACTTCACCATGTCTCAACCGTTTGACTCGCTCGCTTGACATTGTTGTCTTCCTTTCTCTTTGCCATTACCATCGCTCTTTCTTCATCCTCCATCCTTCATCCGCTATCACCATCGTTCTTTTTCAATCATCGATCCACCATCTTCAACGTCGAACTTCACCAATGGCTTCAAGTCTAGTTGTTTTCAATGCCGATCAACCATCTTCAGCGGCAATCTGGTACTTTACATAGTCGCCGATGAGATTGAGACTCTTTCTACAGTGTGTTGGTGAATATTTACATTTTTAAAACATGTTAAACTAATTTGATGAATTTATCACTTAATTTAGTGATAAATTTATCACTGATTTGTTTAATATGTTGTCGACTGGTACTGCTGGAATTTTGATATTAATACAATGATAAATTTATCACTGATTTTTGTTCATGTTAGATTTATCACCTCTCTCTTCCTCACTCCCTCTCTCTCTTTTTATTTTTCTTAAACCAAATCTGCTGTATCAGTGATAAATGTATCACTGATATATTTATTTGAATCTTGTGTTGATTTGTGACGACGATGACGAGTTTTTTTTTTTTTGGGTAATAAATTTATTAGCGAATGTGTTTATCACTGCTAAATTTATTACTGAATATGTCTTTGAATCTTGTGTTAATTTGTGACAATGATGATGAGATTTTCTTTTTGTAATTTTTTAACAGACAATCGGTGGTAAATTTATCATTTTTGTCACTAGAGAAAGATGAATATGCAGTATGATTAATCTAACAGTGATAAATTTATCATTGATTTGTTGAATATGCTATATATTGTTGCTGATTTTTTATATTTATGCAGTGATGAATTTATCATTGATTTGTCATTATAGATGTGAATATTTTGGATGGGTCAATCTATCAGTGATAAATTTATCATTGGAAAGAGGA